AGAAAGTCAGTAAAAATTACTCTGTGCAGCAGAAAAAATTGGCACACACATTCTACAGAGTTATGGATCAAGTATTTCCAACATTTATCTAAGTTCATGTTCTTTTCTATAAATTCCCATATCCCCCTCATGTTCATTCTCTAAGCCAGTGATGGTGAACCTTTTAGAAACCGAGTGCCCAAACTGCAACCCCAAACCCACTTATTTATCACCGGGTGCCAAGTGGACATGGCCCACTGGGTGGGCGTGGCTGTGGTGGTCATGGCAGACTGGGTGGGTGTGGCCAAGGTGGGTGTGGTCACCTCGATGTTGCTCGTGTGGAGGGATGCCTGTGAGGGCCGGGCAGGGTTGGGGGAGATCCAGGTGGTCTCTGGTAGGTGGGGCGGTGGGCAGGAGGCTCATTCTGCGGGGTGAGGCGAGGCAAGGCGAGGCAGGGCAAGGCGAGGCAGGGGCCGTGGCAGTTGCTGCCTGACACCATCGGCCCCCGTACAAGAGGCCAGCGAGCGCATGGGGGCTGACAGTGTCCGTCAGCAGCCACAGCCTGCCAGCCCTTCGACCGGTGCATTCTGGGGCTCCGCAGCCCGCCGCCAGCAGTTCAGAGAAGCTACCTCTGAGCTGGATGGCTGGCCGACAGCTGAGGAGGCGATGCAGTGGGTCATGTTCAGGAAAAGGAGAGCATGCGAGGCCAGGAGGGATGGGACGAGGGGGAGGGAAACCAGCCATGCTGGGATGCATCCAGCCCCGTGGGACCTCGGCAAGTTAGCGGGCAGCTGGTTGAAGACAGACGGTTGCCATCTCTGGGGCATGGACCGTGTGCCTACCGAGAGGGCTCTGAGTGCCGCCTCTGCCATGCGTCCATAGGTTCGCCACCACTGCTCTAAGCTATTTTGTCTCTCTAATCCTATCATGTGTGGATATTTGAACAGATTTTGGAAGGAGTTGCAAAAAAGGAGAGCAGAGAAAATCTCATTACATGAACCCATGTTCATAGAGAAGATCCTTGTTTGCATCCTGATACACATTTTGGAATGTGTAACTAGAACTATATAAATATTCCATTAACTCACACTGTAGATTTCCATGGAGACAGTTTATTTTGAGATTTTTTTCAAATATTATCTAACACCAAATTTTTATTTTCATACAAGTGCTATGGTTTGGTTTTCATTCCAGCAAGCATTTTAACTCTTAGGCTTAGCACTCTTTGCTTGTTATTCATACCAAGAATAAAATTACACTTCTGATCCTATCCTGGCTACCAGGTTATACTTCTTAATATCCATCCATGCATAACCATGGCATTATTACAGAAACTTTACTTGTGACCACAACACGACTGTCAAAATATGTGTAATCTGAGTCAACTATTATTACAATGATTCACTAAACTTGATTAAAACTGCTGGATTATTTTCTCATATGAAGATCAGACTTTTGCTAGTAGGATAATATTTTGCTAGAATTAAATTATGCCTTAGGCCTAGTATTATTATCTACCACAATTTAATTTTTCTCAATATCCAGTGTGACAGAGTTGTTCTATGTCTTTTTTTTTTCTACAATGTTTGTATGGGAACCACAGAATCCCATGGATTCTCTTCATTCTGCCAGGGTTCTATTCATTATGATATATTTTCATGTAATGTCAAGCATTTTAATTATTTGTTCTGAAGTTCATCTGGGACAACAAAGAGGTAGAATGTTAATCACCACAACATTCTCAGGTAGCATAAGAGTATGGCTTAAAAATAAACATTGTTTTCTTACTAGGAGTTTACACACGGCTTTGCACAACAGACAAATTCATAGCATATAAGCTAAAAACTAGGCTGTATTTGTATAAAATATTTACACTTAGTCTAATCTACATGCAGCCATTCGTTTTTTCTAGCTATCTTATTCCATTATATATGAGATAGGATTAATGAGAAAAATTAATAAAGAGCAAGATATAAAATTGTCCTATTTATGACATTAGATATAACATCAGTACCATGAATTTAGCTCAGCTTCATAGTGGGGAAGATGAATTTATCTTTTGTACACTTCCCAGAGTACAGTATGAGTTGGGTGGCCATAAAATATATATATACATAATACTAAAGCAAGATGAGAGAGGAGGGAGCAGGATTTTCTTTGAACACAATTCTCTGTAGTAATTAGCAAAGATATAGAAAATACAGCTGTTTACACAAAATGTGCAGCCAGCTGCTTAGAAACCATTTTTCCCAAACCATTGTGATAATTTTGGTTTTATTATTATACATAATTTACATAGCACTGTTTGGGATACAACCAATGGTGGGATTCAGCCAGTTCGCACCAGTTCAGCAGAACCGATAGCTAATTTTTTGTTGCCCAGGCCCAGAACGGGCTTCCGGAAGCAGCATCCACACAGAGAACCAGTTGTTCACATATTTGAATCCCACCATTGGATACAACTCATCTCTTATTCATACTCCAGTGAGATAGGTTACCATTATACATGTTTTTTACAGCTGGAAACAGGCAAAATAACAGTAATGCAAGAAATCTCTGTGATTGGAAAACACATTTTTAAAAATCTAAACACAGCACACTGGATGACTTGCAGGCAATAGTTTGGGCTCTTTATCAAGAGTTTTTATTCATTCTATAAATCTTCTCCAAATAATGGTTCCTCATTAGATAGTAAAAAAGACGTTGAGACTCTAGAAAGAGTACAGAGAAGAGCAACAAAGATGATTAGGCTAAAGCATATAAGGAACGGCTGCTGGAATTGTGTATGTCTAGTTTAATGAAGAGAAGGACGAGGGGGGACATGATAGCAGTGTTCTAATATCTCAGGGGCTGCCATAAAGAAGAGGGAGTCAAGCTATTTTCCAAGGCGCCTGAAGGCAGGACAAGAAGCAACGGGTGGAAACTAAGCAAGGAGAGAAGCAACCTAGAACTAAGGAGAAACTTCTTGACAGTTAGAACAATTAACCAGTGGAACAACCTGCCTCCAGAAGTGGTGAATGCTCCAACACTGGAAGTTTTTAAGAAGAGACTGGACAGCCATTTGTCCGAAATGGTATAGAGTTTCCTGCCTGAGCAGGGGGTTGGACTAGATGACCTCCAAGGTCCCTTCCAACTTTACTATTATTATTATTAGTAGTAGTATTGGAGAAAATTGCTCCCACAGCGTGCAACAAACTAAGATAGCAGGTTCAATCCTGTTAGATTCAAATGGTTTTCTACCCAAACCATGAAGCCATCAAACAAATACAGGCGCAAATCAGCAGCTCAGTCAGGAAGGATCTATCCATAAAGCACAAAGTCTCTGAGTTCAGCTCATGAACCTCTTATGAGTACAATTCACTCAAAAATCTATTCTTGGATTTCCCTCAAGAGTTTTCTTTCAGCAATTCAATTTAGTGTGACAAGAATCTTCTAGTTATTCCTATCATTGGAATTTGGAGGCCAGAAACTATTGCCAATTTATTGCCTATCATCTAGGGAATTATAACTGGACTTTGATTTGCTTTCTGCCCAGCTAGTGGCAGTTCTGGCTGTTCAACTACAGCTTCCATCTGCAGAAGTAATTCACCATATATTTTTTAAAAGAAGCAATTATGGTAAAAAAGGTTATCATATAGGTACATTACATCTCAGAGCAGGGTTTTGTTGCATCTCCCTAATGAGTCTATTTTACAGTAAATTTTGTTTGCCTGTGCGTAGTAAAAAAAATATTTTGTTTCGATCAATGGTCAACAAATTACACAAAATCCTAACTGAAAAGGAGAAACAACAGTGTTCACACCTGCATCAACTGTTGCACTGTTTCTTTGGCAATGCAAAATTTAGCTACCATATGAACGATACTTTCATATTTGAGAAAAGGACATTCACATAATACTTCTTCATTCTCTCTGGATATCAAAACAGTAGAGGTAATATAAAAATATTCTGAATATTCCTACAGAAGTTACAATATCAGAACACAAGATTTATATAGTAAGTTTGAATTAGCTAGAAGTTGCTCTCTCTCTCTCTCTCTCTCTCTCTCTTACTGCAATACCCCTCTAAAGATTTTCATGAAAAAATCCTCCTATGAGTCTCTTATGAACCAAAAACTACCATTATCCATAAAAATCTTACCTGATCACATTATTAAGAGACTTCAAGGAAGCCTAACTTTAACCCTAATGCCCACCTAAATATTTCCCTAAAAAATGGTTCCAAGCCAAAATGGTAAAAGCAATATGAAGGAAAAAATAGTGCTATCTATAAAAACTGAATCTGGTTTTTATAACACTTGTTTTTAGCATGGATTTCAAAGAAGCTAACCCTAATCCTAAACTTATTCTCCACTGAAATATTTATTCAGATGCTTCTACTGGTTTCAAATATTGTAGTCTGTCTTTTAATCAGAATTAGCAGACTGAATAATATAAAACCTATGCTAATGTTATTGCGTTACTAATTGGTTTGCTTCTAAGCCCTATGCAGAGTGATGGTTGTCACCTTTAAAGTCCTATATGGCTGAGTCCCTAAACATCAGGAAGTCTGTCTATCCTGCCCAGGTTTGGCTAATCTTTGCTTTGCTGACTCTGAGGAAAGGAAGGTGGAAGGTTCCCATCACAGAGGAGGTGAAGAGGTGGGGATTCAACAATGTGGCTCCTCGGTGGCTCTCCTTGCCCTTTCAAATATCCTACTCTCCAAGAGAAGGAATGTTCCCAATTCCCAGGCCTTCAAGGAGGCTGTAAACACCTTTTTATTCAGCTGATCATCTAGGTGATGATCACGCTTAAGCTGCCTTAAGTTAGTTACTCAGTTTTGTTTTCATTGCATTATAAACAGTCTTGTATATACGTGTGTGTATGTGTATGTACACACATTTACACACACACAAACCTACTGTGTGTGTGCTTCTCTGTGTGTAAATGTGTATTTGTGTGCAAATTGTTTTTTTATGGATTGTGCATTTGTATGGTTTTTTGTTTTTAGAAAAGATTCATGAAAAGAAAATTTGACTGTACCTTCATTACCGGCTGGGCAAAATACTTAGCACTCCAATCACAAAACCCTGTCTGCATTGCTGCTGTCATGAAATTTTTGGGGCCCACAGCATCATCAGCATCATCAGTTATCTATTACGGAGAAAAATGAAGGAAGAGAAATATATGTGCTTTAGTTACGGAATCTACATGGTCTCCTTCTCAGATAAATTCAATGTATCATTAATTGCCGTACTAATAAAAATACTGTTCATGATACACGAAGATTGCCAGATAAGGTTACAGATAGAATTTGTGACTTTCATATCATCCCAAAGGTGTTTTTTTCCAAAAGGCAACTGGACGTCAGAACTAAAGACGTTTCTTGGATGAGAAGTGAAACGTTTTCATAGAAAAAACAAAGAAAGTCCAGTTTCCTTTTGGAAATAACACCTTTGGAACAACCATAACCTGGATGATTGAGAATCTCCATAGACACATGTCTTCCTTAGTGTTATATATTTTAAAAAAATAAAGAATTGTCTATAGGTGCAACTCCTATCAGTGCCAGTTGAGAAATTCAGAATTCCCTTAACCCTTTGATGAAAAGAATAAAGGAAAAAAATCCACTTTGATGGTCAACATGTTAAACTGTAACAATTTAAGGTGCTTCTCCTTATATAGGAAGACTCCAATAACACCAATTCACACTTTTCAATAGTTCAAGGTAAAATTGTTGCATGTGAAAAATGTCTTGCTTATAAAACATTAGCGTAAGTTTACAGAAATCTAAAACTAATAGATGAATGAAAAATTCAGGAAGAAATAAAACAGGGGGAACAAAATCCTGCCTGAGGAATAGAAACACTACTCAGGTGCATGTTGAAAGAACTGCTGCAAGGACAACCATCTCACCTGATCTGGGCCTTTGTCAAACATTTTCCTTGTCCTAGGAAACTGGTGGGAGTGGGGAGTGTACTGCACTCCCATGTTGCCAACATTTGCAGGTCTTACAGATGAGATGTCCCGATTGACAGGCTGTTTTGTCACGTCATTGGTCAAACTAGAGCTGCTGGTACTGGCAGTTGGTGGTGACCCTCTAATAATAGGAAATGAAAGTAAGAGTGGAAATATGAAGATTGCATTAAGATTTTTTTTCTAAGGCAAGGCAAAAACTTAACCTGCACTATAACTAATTTTTATTTAGCAACTGCTGCTCAAACCCTTTCCTCTACTTGCCACTTTTGTTTATTCTTGTGGGTGTGTTTGTATTTGTGGGGTGTGCACCTTTGAGTCAGTTTTCGTCCCCAGGCAATTGCCTAGACTAGTTCTTAGTAGAGAGAGTGACACCAAGTCAGTTTTATGCCTGGTTTCTAGCCTAGTACCTTAACAATTAACTTTAATTTTTGTAGATAATAGTATTTGTAAGCTATAGTCCCCTCTCCCAGCCTTTGCCCTCCTCCCTCACTGCTCTTTGCCCCAATAAAATTGTAGGAGGAAAGATATATCCAAATAGGTGTTTTTCTAGATCTCAGCATGATGTTTGGGGCAACAAAGCCTCTTCATTTCCCCCCCAACACAGGAATGAATCTATCTGCTGAAAAAAATGTGTATTCTATAAAGCCTGAAAGTTCAGTGCATAATGCAAGTGGCTCCCAATGTATCTGTCACCTTTTCGATATTATATGATAAAGATCTTTCTGGCACAAAGATAAGTTTCTTTTCATCCTGACTCTTATACTGAGTCATGAGCAGTGTTGTTTATGCTTCCTTTGACTAAAAGCTTTAGTACTAATGGGGAATGAATCAGAGTTAATTCAGAAGGACACTTGAGGTGTTGCTGTCTTCATCACAAACACTACACTAGAGGGACATAAGATAGGGGGGGGGAAAGGTATCCTTAAAAGCTCTCACAGAAAAAAAAATCTCATAAATAGACAAGTGGTTTCAAATAAGTTGCACAATGGATAATATCTGTATAATACACCCCTTTTAAATTAGAATATGGCACAGGATCAAACACACAGGCAACTTACCCTACTTGATGTATGTGCATGCCTTTGTTAGTAGGACTGGCTGGGGCAGAATGCGTGACAGAGGATGTGTCAAGGATGCGCTGGGGGCGGGCATTTACAGTTGCCTAGGAAACAAAAAATTAGCAAGTGAGAGAAACAGATGCCAACCTCTGCTTAGTATGGTTTTCACATTTGGAAATAAAGGAAAGTAGAGTCACTCTCCAGCACTAAGAAAGTATTGTTATACTACTGCATGCCTATCAAAGAAGAATCTAGCTCATACCACCTACCCATCACCAAGATTCCACTTTAATATGCCACTTTAGTCTCTATACCATGTTAATGATTGCAGTAAAACCTTGAGACAATTTTTCAGGTAAGACTAAAATCAGTTTAGGACCAAACTTAGTACAGCATGACAAAACTTAACTGTTGCCTAAACTCACCTTCACATATCAATTTTTTCTCAGAAGGAAGAATAATTCGTAAACAGAAGAAGTAGAGTAAATAATACTTTAACAACAGAATAATTTGTCAAGGCTTATAGGATCAAATATTCCCAGTAGGCTCAGTGGTGAAAAATTACTTTATGATTCAAAACCATGGTCCTTTATGCTCAGTTGGTGTGTTAAATTAGCTTCTGATGCAATAAATAAAATGGGGCAACAAAATAAATACAACACACTTCCTATGGTTCCCCAAAGATATAAGGATAAATCTCATTTGCCACTTCTTGAGATTCTGGGCAAAGGGAGAAGGAATGGAAAGAGAAGGCGTATAGCCGTGAAGTTTCTGATGCAGGAAAACCTTCACTTATAGGAATCTATCAAATCAAAAGAGACTGTTGATGGCTATTAAGATCTCAGCAGTTGTACTAAAAAATTAATACAAAAACTTAATACAAAGTTGTATTAAAAAGTTGTATTAAAAGTAATCAACAAGACATTTGGGAACCTGCAGAAATAAATAGCATAAACAGAAGACAATGTTCCAAGAATATCTGCATTTGCTCTTAACACTCAACGCTGCTGAGGACACACAAACAACTTCAGCACTTATGGAACAGAGCACTTATTATTTCTCCTCAAGCACTCACCTGGCTACATGGACCTTGAAAATGGGTCTTTTGACATCTCCAAATACTAGATGATTTTATTTTTAAAAAATTGCACTATGCCATCAAGAAAGAAAGAGTTGTTTTTCTCCCCACTGTTATGGCCTTGAGAGGATGAATAGTTTGTAAATGTGCAGTAATACAGTACTAGCTCTAGCTAAAATAGTAAGAAAAGTCACTGCTTGCATAAGTTATATCTGGAGGTCAAACTGACTTTGTTTGCTGAAAAGCCAATCGTGGAATTGCTTGGGACCAAGTTCTAAATTTATTTATTAATTTTTTTTCTTAATCAGCTTTCTTCTGTTACATTCAATCATAAAACATAAGATAATTTGATCATCTTCTATGGCTGTAAAAATGGTTTCTTCCCCATCTAATTGTTTTAAGCAGCTTAGAATGCCAGCTCATTTTTAAATAATTAGCAAATTATACTAGAGTTAGCTATTTCCTCTACTCCTTTTGATTCAAAGTCAGCTATGAAAGGTTCTAGTTATATTAACTTATGTAGACCACAATCTAGCAGCGGGGTAAATATAGCAAATCTACTTTTGTAAAGTCAGTGAGAAAAAGAAATTTATCTCTTTAAACTACCCATTGACAGAATGCACATCAGTTCTTGTTGTTCTGTCAACCAATCTCTAATTATGGCCCCGGTACAAAGTAGGCATTCTAGGTGGGTTCTTGCTCTTCTGAATCTGAACCTTCCCATGGTCCCTTAACATGCAGCCAGAATGGAGTTATAAGGGGAGGGAAATAATACTCGTTTGAAGCTGATGCATTTAGTTTCCCTGAAGTCCCTTGAAATGGAGATAGTGGTTGGATCATCACCAACCACTATCATTGGGACAAAAAGAGGTTAATTATACAGCTCATGTATATTCATGAGGAGAAAGGAAAATGAAGGGTTAGTTTGCTGATATCTCCTAACAAACATGTGCATTCCAGCATGACAGAAATTTCTCTCTGGCAGCTTTCTACTATCTAGCTCCATTAAGGATGCAATTTGTAATACTGTAACCTTCTTCTATGTACTTACTTAACCTTCTTGCAACTATTATCCAGCACAAGAGAATATCCAAAACTAAATCGACAATGTCAGGATAGTTAAGAAAAGTACATAAAGACAAAAAGTTTGGGTTAAAAGACATTATTAAATCAAAATATGCTAAAGGCTATATATATATATATATATGCAACAAGAAGAAATTAAAATAAGCTGCATAGATAATATAAACTTTGAAATAGCAACTACAAATACAATATTTCTATGTAATCTATATAATGAACCCGAGCAAATAAAATGTTTTCCTTTTAAATCTGGATGTAACTAGGTCTCTTGTTTCTCACTGAATTCTCTGTGAATGTAACTAGATCTCACTAATAGGTACCTTGTGCTAGAAACACAAAGATGTATTCTGATTTTAATAAAACCACAATTGCCAGCTTTGTTCCTTCACTCTTTCTTGAGTTTTCCCAACCAGTATTATCTATCCTTTCATCCATCAACATAGCTTTGATATGTATGTATGCATACATGTATGTATGTGTGGATGTAGGGATGTATATGTGTCTATATGCATTCAACTTTTCACATTAAAAACACGAAGTTGATGACTGAGGTAAAGGGACCAATGAGTATACTGGTTCTTTGATATTCAGATAAGGATAGGGTGAGAGATCACTCAACTGTGGACAGCTGTACCCCCCTGAGGAGGTCACAGAAAAGCTGTTTTTCCCAGGCTTGGACACTGAGAGACAACTGGATTAGCTATCTTACTAGCTACCGTAGTGGAGACTTTTAAAGGGAAGTTAAGTTTGCAAACCTCACTTTCTAATCACTTTCAAAAATTTCTCATTAGCCTATTAGAGGCCCTCAGAATGACAAATGTGAAAACACCAGGTGAATCCTGAACAAAAGGAAAGTTTATGTTATATAAGTTTAACTATATATAACATAAGAGCTGTGGGGGCACAGTGGTTAGAAAGTAGTACCGCAGGCTAATTCTGCTGACTGCCGACTGCCAGCAGTTTGATTCTGATCAGCTCGAAATTGACTCAGCCTTCCATCCTTCCAAGGTCGGTAAAATGAGGACCCAGATTGTTGGGGGCAATAGGCTGACTCTGTAAACCACTTAGAGAGGGATGTAAAGCACTGTGAAGAGGTATATACATCTAAGTGCTATAAGCCTAAGAATTTAAAGAATCTGAACTAAACAACAAAAAAATAAATCAGATTTTGTTCTTAGAAAGTTATAAGGCTGACTAAGGATCCAAAATTGGAATATTGAAAAATAAGAAGCTGTTTGTACTTTATAATTAATTGCAAAATCTTTCTGTAAAATTTTTGGAATTAATTATAAAGTACAAACAGCTTCTTGTGGGAAGTAGATCCCATCTGGTTATTACAAAACAAAACATAGATTTAAAAAAATCATGATTTTAAAAACTGTACACTAGAAGGGACAAAAGATTTTAGGTAAAGATATACAGGCCTGCAAGATGATTATGACAATAAAAATACTGAAGGAGACTTTTGAAGAATGGAATCAGAAAATAGTAGCCACAATATCAACAGTGTCAGGAATGATATCTGCTTCTATGGATAGACTATGTCCAAAAGATGTTATTGAAGAAACAGCAAAAGCAGAAAAATAAAGATGGTATTGAAACAGAATTTACAGCTGGCAGACCAAGATAATGATTTAGATCTAGAAAAGAAACTGGCTGAGACTTTAACATTTAAAAGGAAATAAAAATGACAAGCCAAGAGAGTCACCTGAAAAAAAATTTCCTACTTGATTTACTAAAGAGATTTGTTAAAACCTTGAAGAATTCTGTGCAATGGGACAAAGAAAAAATGAAAAGGGATCAGATTCTATGACAAGATTAGGGCTGTTAGAAGTGAAAGGAAGGAATATGAAGTTGGTTTATTTGATCACGGTTAAAATAAAATATGTTGTTACTTCTGACTACATTTTCAAGACTAAAAAGTTGATATTTTATGGTTTTGTTTATAGATAAGATCGAATATAGGATGAAAAGATAAATGTTGTAACATTTAAGAGAGAGTAAATAGTTAATGAATTTGTTTATATTTGTAATAAAGGTCGGAAGTCACATTTTTATACATTTTCTTTCTTTATTATATTCTTTTCTGTTTCTTCTCTACAAACCTGGGTTTAAATATTAAATTTACTGTCAATTAAGCACTTCAGTTATGCACACAACAATGACAGTTCAGAGAAACACTCTAATAACACCTAAGCAGAAGTTGGTGATATTTTCAGATATTTTATGATGGTCTGCTGCCAATTACAAAATGAAGAAAAACTTACAAGAAGCCCCAAATCACACAAAACATTGATGATCTCATACTTGAAATCTTATATAAAAGCTCTAAAATATTACAATTGTTTACTCATTTTTTACATTTTAGACCCAGTCATGTTTCTAAAACCCACTTAGGGTGAATAACTGAATAAATCCTTTCCTAAAAGGATTTTTTCCCCAAAAAATCTTTGCTAAAACAGACTGATGGCTTTTTTGCTCAGTGGTGCTAATAACCATCACACGGCAATTGTGGCTTCCATATTTCTTCAACATTAATTTATGGGACACAGTTATTCAAATACTTTTTTTATACAGGATAACATTCATATATTCATCAAATACTTAGCTTTCTACTGCTTCCCTCTTTCAGCTAGGCTATACTGTACCATGTTTCCTATTATCTTCTTTATAAAGCTAGGAAAATGCATAATGCATTCTGGATATGGTCCAGAAATTCTTATGCTGGCAGAAAACATAAATTATCAGCAGGGTAAAAGACTCTCTGAATAAGTATGCCACATGTAAAACTTCACAATTTATTTATCCAACATAATGATATAAAAGCCCAAAGAAAAGGAAACAGGGAAAATGAGTAGCAACTGAATAATTAGAGACTGTTGAAATACTTGGCCATAAAGTAGCTTATTCCATTGCTATTTGCCAAATCTCAGATTTTGTGGTTACTCTCTCCTGTATCAGTCTGCCAATTTCAAGGCCACCAAATCTTGAGCTGTCAAACATTTGACAGTCATACAGCATTGCTATTTAAGTGTCTATATAACTCCTATGAATTTTCTTTATGAAAACAGGGAGCAAGGTTATTTATTTAGTTAAAAAGTTGAGTTCCACAAAAATAAGGTACCAATGAAAACATAAATATAGGGCTTGGAAGCTAGTTTCCTACAGGAATATCGTCTCCCAATCTTATCTGGTGCATGATTCCCATCAAAAAAATTTAATGATCTGCAAGGCTTGTAAGATTAGTGGGGTAGTCTAGGGTGGATAGTTGCTTACTCTGTGTGTTTGGGGGAAGGAAACAGCCCGAGGAACAGGAGGAGGATATAAACCCAAACTATATTTTAAACACATTATAATATGGATATTATTGTATAATTTTATATTTTTTTATTATTTTTCTTTCACCCCTGGGGCCTCTAGCCAATGTAGACCACTAACTTTATGAAGAGAATAAAACTTCTTTTTTAGTCCATGACTCTATGTTGAAGGCATAATACAGGTAGTCCTCGACTTATGATCCCAATGGAGCCCAAAATTTACACTGCTAAGCATGGCAATTGTTAAGTGAGTAATTCCCCATTTTACGAACTTTTTGCTATGGTCCTTAAGTGAATCACTACAGTTGTTAAGTGAATCATGCGGCTGTTAAGTGAATCTGGTTTGCCCCATTGACTTGCTTGTCGGAAGCTCCCTAGAAAGGTTGCAAATGACAACCCCAGAACCCCAGGATGCAGCAATCATTGTAAATACGTGCCAGTTGCCAAGCATCTAAAGTTTGATCACACGACTGTGGGAATGCTTATAAGTATGAGAACTGGTCATAAGTCCCTTTTTTTCTCAATGCCGTTGTAACTTTCAACAGTCATTAAGTGGAGGGTTGTAAGTCAAGAATTACCTGTATGAATGCAAAGAGACAGTTAACTAAACAAATTTATTGAAAATATCCTATCACAAATTATATGAGAAACTCGCTATCTGATAAAATAACACTCCCCCATCCCACCCCCTCAAATTTACCTTGTAAGCAATGCTGTTCAACACTTTCATAGCCAGGTCTGAAACATCAGGGTATGGATCAGCCGCCAAGTGTAAGAGGACTCTCCAAATTTGGGTGTAAATACTATTGAAAGACACCCCTGGAAACAAAGAAGAATAAAGCAAGAAAATACGTCTGAGTGAAATCCAGTCGCCAAATTGTCATTTTATATGATGATCTCAGGATGGTGACAATATATCAGACAATTGTAAATAAACAAAAATAAGATTGTACTGCTATTAATATGCAGAGTGCTTTGTAACATGTTATAGGCTGAGGTAAGTGCTTAACTCACAAAGGTAGATTTATAGTAGTCTACCTTTGATTATCAATGCATCAGCGGTCTAATTCATAGATAATCACACAATTATATGATAAACCAATGATTGTTTTGTTTTTGATTTAGGGTGACTTCCTGCAGTGATAGTATTGCAATATATGCAGACCAGGTTAGTACAGCTTGTTCAACAGAATGGTGGTTTTTAAAAATCTAGGCCTGCTGTTAAAGGTTAACCACAGTATTGTTTGCACAGAAAATCAAGAATTTGAAGATGGATATAAATTACTGAAGCTCAAATCTGAGAAAGCTACTTCAATATTTTTGTTTCTTTTGCTGTGTCCCTCTGTTGTAAAAAATAACAAGATCAGAGTATTTTAGGGCATCTAAATAAGATCAGAAACTATACATATTCTTTCTTATCCCAAGATAATCGTGCAAACAAGCCCTAAATATGGTGATCCTCAATATTCTATATGAATTTGCCTAATTCAAACTTAAAGCCTCTTTATTCCCCCATAAAGCCATTGTTTGCGATAATGTGTTTTTTAATTTAACTATGCATTCTATGTGAAGAGGAAATTTGCCAGCATTCAAATTCTTTTGATAATTTGGACTTCTATTTTTAACAAGAGGGAGAAACATTTTTATCCACCTTTTTTACATGTTTATTTTGAATGATTCTAGGTGTTTCGTTTCTCTTTTTTCCAAGCAAAATAAATGAATTTCTCACCTTTCCTCATAACTAACTTTTTTACAGGCACACAATTATTTGTGTAACTTTTCCCAGCTCTGGAATATGCACTGACCAAATGTAGTCAGGTAATGGATTTAGACTAAGGCAATCTAATTATACTTTCTTATTTTGATCTTATCACTAAGCCACATTATTAACAATCCCAGGGGAAACTGTATAATCCTGCAGTAAATGAAATTAAAATCTAGCCATTTAAAATTTAGTGATATCTTGAAAACTAATATACTTATGTCATAAACTTTAGTGAATTAGTCTATTGTGTCTGATACATTAAATGTAATCCTAAACTACAAATATATAAGTATCTGGGGAAAGATAAATTGTAAATAGTCAGAAAGGAAATCTTATTACAGTGGCCATTTACAATATGGTTTAACAGTAACAGAGCCACTGGATGAACAGGCAGTTTGTAACCATGATAAATGGCTTGATAGGGTCAGTGGAATTGGTGGTATTAAACATGATGCTAATTTTTTTTTGATAAATAATTGTTCAGGTGTTTATATAGTGAAGTCTTATTTTTAATTTTCATTGCCCCAGAATTGTCTTCCCCTCTCTTGCAAAAAAGTTATTTTTGGCTTCTCTTCATCAAATGATTGCTCATTCTATTTATTTATTTAATAAATTTATATGGCCACCGGTCTAAATAATGGAACTCTGAGTGGCGATCTGGCAGATTATCTGCACATGCAAGTGTCCACAGTAGTACCAATAGTGGAAAACACGCATTTTCCTCAAAGCTGAAACAATTGTGGGTAATTACTGTGAAAGGAAAAATTAATTATCCCTATGAGTGAACTAAATAATTTAATCATATTTAGATTTGAACTTGCTATCTAGCGCTTAACTTTTACCTCCTTTGTTGACCTTTTTCATAGGAAAAAGATGACTATTTGTGATCGGTGCAAATTCTTAAGAAAAACGGAACATTGAACAAGAATGTAGGAGAATAGAGGAACTAAACCCTGTGTATGGGTGTATCTTTGCAATGACACTTGTAGGAATGGTAGTGAGGAAAGTGGTGGATAGGACAAAGACAAGACAGAACAAGGAAGTAGCCCAGTAACCAGGGCAACAATGGAAGAATAAGAAACTAACCTAATGGTCAGTTCCAAGAATAGGGAAGTGACCTGAAAGGAGGGATCCAAGAAATGTGAAAGGGAACTGGGAGGGAAATGGGATGGCTACTGGGTGGCACCAGAATGCTAGAGATGGGCACAATGCTAAGGTATAAAACCTGCTTCAAAGATTTGGGTGTTGCCTCTTGGCCTAGCTGTCATACTTAAGCTAGTCCACTTGTCCTTATTGCAATAAGTTGTTGAAATGTAAGTACTGAATTTGTGTGTTAAATTGAAATAAACCTCTGGATCCTAAAGTGAAAATTTTGTTGTGTGTTGTCTCTTGTTTCTCTTAACATGTTTTTCCCCTGACATTACTAAGTGACCAATTCTGATGTCCAGATATGTAAAAGTACTATTGGGTATGATATTTCACATAACATCTAATACATTTTTTTATGCAGAAAAGTTGTGAATTGGGATTTCTCATTCATGTAATTAGGATGGTATTCAGTGGAAATCGATGGTTTCTCATCTGTGCAATCTGAGAATGGAGGCCATATAATCAGACATCCCAATATACTGGGGGGTGCCCACTTATCTGGGTAAAACATTTTAAATCACTGTGAAAACAGGACAGAGAAATGTCAAATTAGCTTTTCTATATGGGCAAGTGGAGTGGGTAACCTCATGTGATTTGTGTGCCATTTCTTGAATTAGAATAAACATCAAAGCAGGTTTTTGAGTACATTTGTTATTTTATGAGATCTTAGATTATCGCTGGCATCTCATGCTCCTTTCCTACCTGGCACAACCTATGAATCTCTGTTATGTGTCAGACTTGGAGTCACTGAAAAAGCTTGACTTTTGGTATATGTGCTCAGGAAGACACAAACAAAAGCAAGCAAAATGATGAAAGTCAAGAAGATGGCAGCTGTCAAGGCATCAGACAGCTCAGTGTCCCTGGAAGAGCATTCTCCACAGCTCCTTTTTCCCTGATCAGCATTCTACCTCTTCTACTTTTATTTCCACCAGGAAGTTATATAACCACAGCTGGGAAATCTCAGGTGTTTGAGATTCCTTTGAAAGTTAATGAAAGGCCAGCAGGAAAGGAAAAGAATCTTTCAATATTGCAATATTTTATGCTAATGTGAACCAACGTGTTTCTCTCATGGCTGACGAATAAAGAATGAAGAAGGAAAAATACCTGCACAAGACTTTAATGAATCTGATCTTTAAAAAACATCAGCTCTGAAATTCCTCTTTAGCTATTCCTCTTTAGCTTACCAGCTGAAGAGAACAGAAGGAATTTCTATGAATTTTTAGATTCATTGCTCTCCCTCTTCCTTATTTTCATTGAAAAAAAATATTGCTCACAGCTCCTTGAGTGAGGCATCCAAATTAGCTGCTTGTCAAGCTTGAACTGACTGAGTCAGTGCACTGATGAAAAGAAATACTAACAGCAGGAGGGGGAAAAAGCTCTATTTTTGCATTAGAGATTGTAATGATAAAAAGGGATGCAGAGGCAAAGCACATGGCAGAAGCATATGTGCTAAAAGTACATCTAAAATGACAGCTCTGTGGGACTTTCAGTGAAGGTTCATGACAAACTAGACATCCCTAAAGGTACAAAGATGGCACTGCAGCAGGATCAGCAGCCAGACGGTGAATTCTGGGCAGTAAAATCTCTCTGGAAAAAACAGAGATTGTGAAATCACCCACTTGTACTTTAGACAGGCCCCTTGGGGATAGACTGCAGAAACTGAAATTTTTGTGACTGACATACGGGTTTCAATCAAGTTTACAAACGTAATGCAGCCTGTGTGGACATAAGGTTTGATGAGTCTCATTTCTTAATCACTTTCGAAATTACTTCTTAACTACTTTTTAGCTACCGTATTAGAGATCTTTGCAATAACAAGGAAACTCTTGGGCAAGTTTCAATCCTTAGCAAAAAAAAAAAAATTAAATACAAATTTAAAGACTTAGATTTTTTTTTAATATATAGCAAAAGGGTGATTAGAATGTTGATTTTGGAAAGTTACAAATAGACTAAGGGTCCAGATCGATTTGAAATAAGATTTTGAAATTAATTATAAGAATCTGTCCATGGGACAATGCTGTTGTTCTAAATTCTTTTTAAAAAAATGATAGGATGGGACTTCGAATGTTAGAAACTAGGGGAAACCAGAAGGAACTAAAGATTGCAATTAAAGGAGAAGAATACTTAAATTTGACTCACTCATTCAGAATGGAGAAAAACTGTGTTTAAAAGATGTTAGGGAAGAGGAACATGTTTTATCGATAAAATAAAGAATGATATGAAAATGAATTTAAAATGACAAACTAAAAGAATGATATGAAAAAGATATTACATTGGATATACAAATGAAATTGGTTGATATCTTAATAATTGAAAGGGATATACAAATAACAAACCAAAGGAGTGATCTGGATAAATTATCTATATCGGATTTACAAAGGGACATGTTACAGTTTTGAAGGCTTTATGAGAAGGATCCAATTAAAATGAAAAGAAATCAAGTTCTAGGACATTATTTGAAGGGATTAAAGACCAAACTTGTTGACAGTAAAAGGAAGAAATATAAAGTAGGTTTATTTGATCAAGGTTAAAATAAATATGTTGTTATTACTGGTAACCCTTAATGGACTTTTGATGACTAGGACTGAATGATCAGGGTTTAAAGATTTATTTATAGATAAGAAGATATGGGAAGAAGATGTCATTTGTTATATTTTAAGAGAAAGTGGTAAGCTACTAAAATTATCAAAAGAGATGAAATGTATAAAACTTCAATTGACATAAATTATCAATTTTTAAAATTTTATTCAGAATTATACAGTAAACCAGAGAATATACTGAATGAAGATAGAAGACTTTTAAAATAAAATTAATTTATGTTTAGATGATACACAACATCAACATCTATTTGCTCTAGTATCTGAGGTAGAGATTAAACAAATAATTTTAAAAATCTTGTCAAGTA